TTATAGAAGATACATAGAATCCTTTTACTAGTTAGTAAAATTTGAAAGGAAATTCAAACTAACTTATCCATTTTGGTAAACTTTAAAACTAAAGAAATGTATTCAATAGTAAATGGTCTGATATATTATTAACTTATTGATCATAACATACATATTGGTTAGAAAAACTAATACAGTGTGTACTTTTAACAAGAAAAAAAAATTCTAGTGATATGATTAAATATTATCAATTTCTTCACATTTTTCAAACTTTGCAGATCCAATTATCATAATAAGTGAAATCTGACTCTAAAGTACACCTCTACCAAGTTATAACGTATATTGAATCGATGCTTGAATTATAATTTTTATAGATGATTCTAGTAAGTATGAACTACGCAACTGTCGTAACTTTTCAATCAATATAAAATAAATAATAAACAAAAAGGGAAAGCAAAAAGTCATTGTCTGTACTACTAAAGTAAATGTTGATCAGCAAATTTCAGATACCTCTTGACGTTAACTTTACTTTAGTAGATATATCAAGAAAATGAAAAAAAATAAAAGATACCGTAGAAATGAAAAGTAAAAAATTTGAAAAATACTTTCATATAGACTAACAACAATACTTTCACGTATTAATACAAAGGGGAGATATTAAAGGGAAAACATATTTAATTAATAGAGCAACCAAAGTTGTTTGTAGACTAACCTGCAGACATCTTTGAACAGCAATAATTTTCAATAAAAATTCTTGGGTAACTTGGGTACAACCAACAGGAAAGAGATCTTTTTTTAATTGAAATCATTATTTTTGATACTTTTACTAGACACACACTGGTAGTAAAATTTAACTGTATACACTTCAATCGAATGATATAACTTACAATATATAATTATCACTATAACTTCCTTTAATACAATAATGGGTTTTGGACTTATTTTTTAACTTTAAATATTTTGGACAAGGTTTTAGACATATGAAATTATGTCCAAAACCTATCCAAAATCTGTTCAAAACTGTCTAAAATTATACAATTGCCTAACACTGCTTTAGTATATTGTAACTCTGTGTGAATTTGCGTTAAACCTAGGTGAATAAGTATTATTACTGAATAGACTATCAAACTACTAAACTTCATAGTAAAGTATTTTGATATCTGTTATTATTCACATTCATCACAACTACTGGAAAGAGAGTCAAGAACAACCTAAGTTGATAGCCTACACTATAGTTATCTCGTCATACATCAAAATCATCCCAAGAATCGAACTTAGGCCTCTAAACCCTAGTTGTAATATAGGCACTATAATAGTTAAAACAGTGCAATATCAACCACATATAATCTGTGACTATTATTCAATCCAAATTATACAATGCCTACCATTGATCCTATCCAAGTTACTTATCACCATTACCTGTTGTCAGGATTAGGGCAAAAAGATGGAGTTTTAGAACAAAATTTCCAAATAATGCATAAAAAGATTCCTGATCACCTGCGAATCAATTCTAACTATATAAATCAATTATTAAATTTAAGCCTTCTGTGCAATTTGACTTAAATTTAACTATCAAAAATGTTAGTATCGAACTTAGCTAGAAATTAGCCTGTCTGATACTAAAAATGATACTATTTGATATAGCTATTCTAGCCCAATTTTAACTCCAAATAATATATCAAAAAAATTTTACTATTCTATTTATCTCTGAAAGGTCCATCAAAAATCAAAGAACAACATGTAAGCCTAAAATGCATACCATATTTCATGATATCCTAAAATTAATTCTAAAGTTGATTTATTATCAGCTAGCAATACTAAAATTTACACCTATTGAAAAGCATAGGTGTAAATTTTTAAATGTATATAAGAAAGTCTAAAAGCTTTAGATTAAGTTCTAATATACTAATAATTTCTCAATATACAGTAAACCATTCTGAAACCATTTCTTTTACATAAAGCTAGGATCGTTAAGTTTTATCTTAAGTGTAAAAAAATTCAGGCACAATGTAAATTTTTCGGGTTAAGTGTAAATTTTTCATATATGTTTAAAAAAAGCAAAAAGTAACAGATCATATTATAGTATACCAATAATTTCATGATATATAGAAAATCATTCTGAAGTCAATTCATATTCACAAACCTTAAGACAAAAGTTATACCAAAAAATTTAAGTAAAGTGTAAAAAAAATTTGGGTAAAGTGTAAATTTTTCAAAGTAGTTAAGTCTAATATATCTCCTAAAATGTATTCAAAGCTCTATCCTGAAACCTATTAATATATTGAATCACATAATAACCACTAGCATGTTTTCTACAAAGGTCAGGCTCAGAGTTAGTCGACTTATCACAAACCCTGCAAGGAAGGTGCTTCCTAGCTTTCCAGTGTTCATAACATCCTAAGGATCGATAACAAGTACGTCCAGTGTTGTCATGGGACATTTTTGGAATATAGCCTAGAACATTAGGACTTAATGTGAGACATTTTGGGACACAGTGTGAGACAGTCTCAAAATGTTTGGGACATCGAAAATGTACATCACTAGGTACATCTGCAGATACCACTAGTTTGAAATAAATAGTTGTAAGAATATTCGTCAAACATAGTAATAATAATAGCTAATATTCATTGATTTCGGATTGTCTAATCGTAAAATAATTGCAATTGTATTATCGGATAAAATTATAATCAATAAATTTTACTTTAAATAAAGGAGTCTGAATTTTAAATTTTAATCGCGAATATCTCAAGATGAGATGATCTGAAATCAATGAATGTTAGCTTATTAGATCCGTCTAGTCACAAGAAATTGAATGATAGTAGTTTTATATAAATCAAAGCAGTATTGACTGATATCGTATATTTTTATTTTTTTAGAATTTTTTTTATATGAAAAATCATGTGATATAACATCATTTTAACTATTTCAACTTTTTATTTCGACTTCAATCTCTAAAGTTGAAACATTTCAACTTTTGTGTTTTCATTTTGATTTCATATATAATCAATATTATTAAAACTTCCTTAGATATTATATAGTTTATTAAAGAATAATTAGTAATCTTAAATATATATTTAGTAATAAAAGATGAAATGAATTGATTATAAATATACAGAAATAAATTATCTCTATAGAAACAAGATTTTTAAGGATAATTTTAATCTTAATGTAAAAAAATTTAATTATATTCTTTAAGTTATTATACAAATATAGCATATACTTAAGCATATGAATTAAATCCAAAATATCATCTAATCAAAAAATTAATTATATCTATTTTTTTTATTATAATGAACAAAAAAAAAGTATTTTCTTCCTATAAATTTATGAATTTAATAAGTAGATTAACTATAGATAATATTAATTTGTCCGAAGCATAGCTGAGGACATTTATGGTTAGACTCTATATGATGCAAGTTGTGTCTGTCCATCTGTTCACACGCGTGATCAGCCAATAAAATATGTTGTTATTCTGTCATATTTTTCGTTCTAATTTTGCTTACCATAAAAGTAAATTCTACTGATGCCATTTGGATTTAAATTGTGTTTATTTTCGAAATCCATAAAAGTAAATTTGGTTTTGCAGTGACATATGTACCTGATTGTATCCATTGTGAGTTAACGCTTCAGACACTTCAACGGTATCCGTTACCTAGTAAAATAATAATATCATTATCACTTCTTTTAATCAATCTAAATAATAATTATATATCTTCTTTTATAAAACTTGCAATTTATAATTTTTATTCTTAAAAAAACAACTTTAAATAAACATTTCTAATTAATTCTATTTTTTAATTAATTAAATATCATCAAACTTTAAGAAATCAATTTTAATTCTAAAAAAAATATAATTATGCTTCATTCTTCTTTTCTTTAACATTATATTTTTTTTCAAATATATATAATTTAGATAATAAGTAAATTTGTTATAACATCTTAATAAAAAATATTTTGTTAATTATTTTTACAAATACACTAATAATATAAAAAGATATTTTTATATTGATATACAAATCCAAGCTAAATATAAAATTAGAATTATTAATATCCTATTTAACTTTAATATTCAACTACATTTATAAAGCTTATCTTATCTACTAAGTTTCTTTTAATTGATTTTAATACTGAATCAAATAAAATAATCAATCTATTCAAAATAAAATAATTTTTTACCTTATAAAATTATAATATTTTTAATTCTTATGACCTCTTATATGATAATATAAATATAATATATACCACCTTTTGCCAATTACCTTTTACACTTTTCTTGAATTAATCATATATATATTTTCTTCTCAATAATATTTGGTATTAACTCTTCATAAGTAATTCTTTTGTTTTAAAATTTAATCTTATCCTTTATATTTTTAAACAAAATGTTAGAATGAGTTAATATTTTTTGCAATAGAAAGAAAAAAAACTGTTTATTTAATATATTAAAGATAATTGATTTTCCTAGCAGTTTTCTACCTTTTTATTTCAAAAGTTCCATTTGAATTTTTATTAAAACTAAATTATAATAATAACAATTAATATTTTAAAAAAACAAAAAAAAAATATGAGGTATGATAATCCTTATTGAGAAACAAACCGCATATAGTATTAAAATTTGCATTACATATGAAAGTAAAAAAAAAACTTTACCAAATTAGGTTTATAGCTTTTGATTCAAGACCTAAACTCCCCGCGGTCAAATTAAAAATGAAACTTAACCAAGTTTTCTAATTGTTTTTTTTTTACCAATTTTTCGTCGGTTTTCTGAAAAGGATTTCATCGTTTTAAAAAAAAATCCGAAAGATTTAGAAAATAAAATGCGTTTTAGACATGATGAATATGTAAAATTGCAGGTCACGTGACTGTAGCTTATCAATGATAGTTCATGTTTCCTTACACATTTACGTTTATCTTAAAACATTCACTCACTTATTCACGTTTCTTTCCTTATTCCATTTTTTCTTTTTTTCACCTTTTTCTTTACCTCTATTACAAACTCATACCCATAACCTTTTAAGATTATGGCTGGTGCTCAAGATGATAACCGACAGCAGTGTGTGATCTTACTTTTGATCTGTTTTGTCAGTTTATTCGCGATTATTTATCTATTTCCAAATTATATTATTTTATAGCTTCAAAAAACAACAAAGACAAGATTACAATACTAATTCCAAGCGAAAAAATTCTTTCGGTAAGAGAAACTCTGTTTTTCTTATTTTCCTGATTAATTTCTTATTTATTTATTTATTTATTGAATGAACCTTAAAATTCAAAACAAAAAAAAAATAGCGGGTAAAAATAAAGACCTTCACAATAATAATAATCTACCACCAGCTTCAGTCACCCCTCCACCAACAACCCCAACTTCAACCTCTTCCAATACGTCATTTACTGTTCCCGGGCCAGCTTTACCTAGTTTGAAACCTGCCCCAGAACACGTTCCTGTTAATCATTTTAACTCTCAGGAAATTTCAAATTATTTGAATAATAGTAAGTATAAACATTATCGTTGACTTTTTCAAATTCTTAAAAGTAATTATTTGATTCAATTTCTTTTTTAGCCTGGAAAGAAACATTGGATCGATATCATGATATTAATCTTTCCGAAGTTGGTAAATATGAATTAAAGGAAAAAAAAGCGATTGCTTCAATAAAAGTGCTTAATGTAATTCTACAAAAAACATACTTTTTTTTCTTTAGAAAAACCAGAGATGTATAAATCCACTGAAAAGGCCTGGGTAGCTAGAGGTGGACCTGTCTGGGGAAACAAAGGTTTTATTATTCACATATAATATAAATATTAATGCATAATTAACATATTATATTAATGCTAGAATTTCCTTTAATATAGGAAATTTAATGGCGAACGGCAATGATTTCTTTGCCGAATTGAAAAAATCTCCGCTCGCTCAAGTATCAACCGCCCAGCCGGCGACAGCCAAGTAAAATAAACAAATAATTAAAATGCATTTCATAATTTTTGTTAGTTCATATTTTGTAATATAACTTATTTATACCAAGTATTAAAAGGACGTCTAGCCAAAGACGAGCGAAATTTTTTGGTAAAAACGATCGGAATAATGGCATGTTGTAAGTTCATGAAAACGTTAGATTGGATTGATTCCTTCTCTCCTATCTCTCTCGACTTATTTTATTAACCGTCACGGTTTGTCAATAAAACTGTGTTAATTGAAATTTCATTTTTTTATTTTATTTTTATTTTATTATTTTTGGTTCTCAGTGTGTTTTGCTTTTATTGTTTATTCGTTTACGGTTGATTTGAAACTAAATATGTTTGAAAATAATAGAGGCTCCAAAATTAAATGATAATGGATAAATGTGATTATCTGCAGGCATAATTCGCGATTTCTTCAATAAAGGTTTGTTATTTTAAGAGATTAGATTAATCTGTATTACTTGTTATCAGTAAATGTTCCAAGATTTAAAGGCTATGAATAGAAACGAGAGATCCTTTAATTGTAGAATTTTGTGATTGATAAAATTTGTTTTATGGCACTTATCTTCGTTATTGGTGCTTCATTTTCTTCATATTAGAGCTCTGCAAGTAAATGAATTTATGGGATGAATCAAAGAATTTGGAATCGCGTTTTACACAATATTAAATACAGAAGGAAAGTTTGAATGCACGGAATCTTTATTTTTATTTTATTTATTTGTCTTATATTTGTGTATTCATTGAAACGAGAAATAAAATATTTGATTGAAACACACGTGAACGAAATTTTGTTAATTGCATATCATGTTTCACAAACTTTGGCGCATTTATTATTTTTTAATCTTGAATAAATTGACCACATTTTTTTTAAGAATGACTCAGATAGAGGAAGACACGCGAACTATGTTTCAAAAAGAACAAGAAACCTTGGTACTTTTTATTTAATTCTTTACAATTTGCTTGTTTAATATTACCCCATTAACGTAATTAATCTAGGCGAGAGAATTGGATTGGTTGCTGGTTTCTCAATTACCAACTGCACTATCTGAGATAAAGAAAGGGTTGAAGGTAAATACGTTAACTCGATTGTGTTTTGGATGTTATCCGTATCTAAAGATTATTAAAATTTTATAGAAATGTGAAGCGATTATGAAATCGCCTGAACATGACGGTAAGTTTTTATTTCCATTGATTATTTTATAAGCATAATAAAACATAAAAATGTTTACTAACTTTTACATAATAGATTCGCTAGGCACAAGTACTCTGGCAATATCGTCAAATAAGTAAATAATTTCAATTTTTGTTTTTATGATACAATTCTTATTGAATTTAATTTAATTTGGTTTTTTTTTTTTAGTAGTGACTCTCTAAAAGGATATATTACTTTGGATGGTAGCGATATTATCAAAGGGGTATTTTATTGTTTTATTTCGGTTAGGATTTGTTAAAATAATTTTAATGTTAAAAATTTTATAATTCTTTAGGAATTATCAGTAAAATTATCCAATTACCATCGTGGTAACTTGATTAAATTAAACATTAATTCGAAAAAACCATATTTTATAGAACAAGTAATCTTAAAAAAGTTTATTCGTTTTTTCATTGATCAACATGTATTTTCAAATTTTAACACAATGTTCACACTTTCTCTTGTTCAAATTGTTAAAGTTGGTCGATGCACAGAATTATCTTACTTTAGCTTTAGATTCATTGGAAAATACGAATAAAGATCTTACAAAAGAAAGTGCTCGAGAGGTAGGTTAAGAAAGTTGATTCAATTTTATCTTATTAATAAAATTTTTTTTCACTGACATTACTTAGTTGTTAGATTCTGTTCTCATATATATATTAAGTAGTCGATCAGTTTTAGTTTGTGCTCATGAAGAAAAATTGTTTCCTTATAAAATTTGTGATCCTCAGGTAAACCAAAAATTTTTTATAAGTTCTCCTTTCTCTTTAACTTAATATAATAAAACTTTGCTTTTCCTTTAGATGTTTGGGACAGCAATACCTGAAGAATTGGTTATTCAATTTCATGTAGAAGGATCAAATGTTATTAGTTCGGTTTATGGATTACAATATCATTCACCAAAAAAGAATGGTGGTTTATTAGGATCGGCTAAATCTTCAAAAATTTGGTATTCCTTTTAAATTTATTTGATTCATTTTTATTTTATTTTACATATTTTTTAACTCTAAATCTTATATAATGTAGTAAATATAAGGATAAATATGCTTCTATACTGGATGAAATTATTGTAAAATCACATGATCCAAAATTAGAAGAAGTTATGGAAGGTTTAATGAAATTAGAAAGAGAATGCTTAGCTTGGAAAGGCAAAATTGCTTTATTTAAGAATTTGGAATTGGGAAATTAAATAGAAAATTTTTCATAACATAAGATGTGTATAGTATAAAAGAAATTTTTTCTATTTAATACATTTATTATAATTTAGTATTAAATATATTTTATATATATATTATATATATATATTATTAATTTATTTTACATAAATATAAAATAAACATATTAATCTTATATTTTTAATTATTAATTTACTTAAAATGATTAAAATTATATTAAAATCTGATTTTGATACAATTTTTTTTGATTTTAGTAAATAATATTAAAAAATTTTGTTTTTTAAAATTAAACTTATAATTTTACAATTCAAACTAATTTTTTAAAAAATTGGAAAATAATAAAATTTTACTTATATCTATAATTCTTTTAAAAATATATATTTGTCAAAGTATTTTGTTATAATAAGAATTATAATTTAAAGATTGAAATTGATTAAGATAATTATAATACAGAGGGTTATCAAAAGTTTCTGAACACTAAGTTTGACATCGTATATCTCAAGTTGCACTGATCAGAATTAGTTCAAAGTTTCATATAATCTTGATACAATTTCAATCTATAATATATTAAAATTTCATTTAATTTGAATCGGTAAAAGCTGAGATATATATATAAACGTAAATTCATAAATATTTTTGATTTTAGATTTTAGTTAAAGTTTTTGAAATATATTTTCTAAATATCTAATGATTCAAATTAAA